ACCATGAAGATCTATTTTCCTCCTACTGGCTCCAGCCAAGTAATTCCTTAGAAGATAACAATCCTGCCTCAACCCTATAAGTGGTCAGGAAGACCCACTCTCACCTTGTACATGCAGAGATCTTCAGTGAACTTTATTCACAATGCCAACATATAATTTTCCATAGAGATAGTGACTGCTGTCAACAGACCTGTCAGATGACCTGGGGAGATACTGGATTGCACTAGATGGAAGTTTACACTTAAATATTTACTTATGCCTTCATACCAAGGCTTCCTAGGCAGCTCAATAGTAAAGAATCTCCAACGCAGAAGAAATAAGACATGTGGGTTTGGTCCCATTACCCCAGTCCAAGCTCACTCTGCTCATTACACAACAGGCCAATAAATCTGAGACAAGGTGTTGAGAAAACGAAAGGGCTTTATTTGGGAGCCAGTTGACCAAGAAGATGGCAGGCTAGCACCTCAAAATAACCATCTTGTGGGGCCTGGATGCCAGGTTTTTTTTTTTTTAAGGGATTATATTTGGGGGGAGGTTAGGGGTTGCAAAGAGTCAGACACGACTGAGCGACTGACTGACTGACTGACCGACTGAGGTGACAAGATAAAAAGACTATTCAGTCCTTACAAATGTCCCTGCAACGGCAAGCTCAGGCAGGTGGTGTACTGGTTTCTCTTCCTTACAGTCCTTCACAGGTGGGCAGCTCAGGTTATCTCCCTGAGGCCAGCCATCATGTACACGGACAATAACAAAAGTAGCAAGATGAGGGTTAAAGTCACAGAAGCAGATCCAGTATAAATTCAAAGATAACCTTTCCCGATTACAATCCCTGGGTCAGGAAGATCCCCTGGAGGCGGGCATGGCAACCCACCCCCGTACGATTGCCTGGGAAATCCCCTGGACAGAGGAGCCTGGCGGGCTACAGTCCCTGGAATTGCAAAGAGTCAGACACGACTGAGCACTCATGCAACACGCCGTTATTAATGTCACTGGCTATATTCCTGGTATTCTGCCCATTTTATGAGATTATTGCTTCTTGCGTTACATGTAACCCTCAGATAAAATTAATGATCATAAGGTGACTTGAAAGGATTGGCCAAATGTAGAGTTCTATAAGATGAACTCTCATAGAGTTCTAGGTATGGGAAGAAGCAACAGGAGGGAGCCATTTCCTGGACCAGAACAGACCAGTGAGGCAGGCAGCCCAGAGGCTTTTGCTTATTGTTCTAGCTTGAGTCTGGCGCCTTAGACCACTCGGCCATCTTGATGGCCCTTGCTTATTGTTAACAAGGTTCAGTCCAGTGATAGCGCACTGAGTGACCTGTCAACAAAATCCTTGCCTGACCTGGGTATGAGGATTCCCAGCACCGTGGGACAAATTGGTCATGAAATGCATCCCAAACCTTGGTTGAAGTTAAGACCGAAAGGGAAACGATTATAAAATAAAGTAAGTTGCCTGTCACCCAGTCCATAACAATCAAGCCATTAGCTGCTGCAGTAACTGACCTGAGCTGTAGTACACCCGCTGGCATTCAGGACAAAGATCAGAATAAGGTGCTCTGTGTTCTGGGAAAACTAGGCCTTGCTGTAGTTAAGATACTTTCAAGAGGAGTGGTTTATGAACCTGGATTCTTGCATGTCTCCATTCTTAGAGAAGCCCGAACACCATTCATTAAGATGATTATCCCTCGAGGCCAGCAGGGATAGCCAGCACATCTCACCTTCTATGAGATGTGTGATTCACTGCACAAACTCCTTTCAACAAAGTCATGTATCTAGTGGGTGGCCACCCCCTTCAGCTCTTTGGAGTAGTTCTCAGAGTTCTCTGAGAGACTGACTTCTCCTGAGTTATGATCCTCAGTTTGCTGTTTGTAAAATTTTCCATTTCCTTCTTAGATTGACTACTGATTAATTTTTTTTCCTTGACATCAAGTAACAGCCAGAGTGTGGGGAGACAGGTGATTATTTCCATGGGACAGTTTGCTGGCTGCTGCCATTTGTTGGCTATCTATTGTCTGTCTGTCCAACCATCAAGCAAAGTGCTTTCCTTTAGTTAATTACACCCTCCTGTGAGGGCAACGTTATCCCCATTTTCCAGAGAAGGAAACTGAGGCTCACAACCTCAGGCTGTACTGGCTTTTCCAACAGCGAGAACAGCATGCGTGCTAAGTGGCTTCAGTCGTGTCCGACTCTTTGTGACCCTGTGAGCTGTTGTCTGCCAGGCTCCTCTGTCCAGGGGATTTCCCAGGCAAGAATACTGGAGTGGGGTGCCATGCCCTCCTCCAGGGGATCTTCCTGACCCAGGGGCTGAACCCGTGTCTCTTATGTCTCCTGCATTGGCAGGTGGTTCTTCATCACAAGGACTACCTCAGCAGCCCAACCATTTATTAAGGCAACCATGACTCTCAGTATTTCATTTACTATTTAAGATGATCTAAGAAGCAGGTATTGTACAAGCAAATTAAACACAACAATTTCGAGGCAGCCGCTATGTGCCAGGAAGTGCTTGGTGGCAGGAACACAGCAGGTGACAGTTCTTGCCTTTCTAGAGTGTTTCATCCCAGAGGGAAAGTGGACCTGAACAGATATGTATATGGGATGATTTGTTTCAAAATCCCACCTTCTGCCTCCCAGCTGGAAGTTCGTACCAGGGGAACACACAGCAGCCTTCAGACTGGAAGCAAAGACCCAAAACTTTTCTGTTTCTTATTTGCAGCAAAAAGGCTCCGGCCTCCTACACCTTCCCTTAGCTCCAAAGGGCAAATCCGAACAGTTACAGGGGGAGGGAGGGAATGCAGAAACAAAGGAAAGGCGGCCAAGAAACAATGGCGCAGAAGTAGAACAGGGCCCTGGCTCTTCCTGAAAGGCTGCCCAGAAAATTCTGATGTGTATCTCTGAGTTCTTCTACAGGAGCCCAGGTGGGGAATGGTAACACAAGCTAATGGACCCCTTCTGGCTGGAATCGGGAGGCTGATGACTGAGATTCCTGGAACACCACCCGGCAGCCTCAGCACCAACCAATCAGAGGAAGGTCACACACCCTACAGCCCTCCCTCCAAATTCTGCTTGTAAAAACTCTTCCCCCAAAACCATCAAGGAGTTCAGGCTACTCCAAGCATGACCTGCCCACTCTCCTTCCTTGGCCCTTGCAATAAACCTTTTTCTGCTCCAAATTCTGATGTTTCAGTATGTTTGGCTTCACCGTGCTTCAGGGACTGAACTTGGGTTTGATAACACTCAGGTTCAGTCAGTGATATTATATGGTAGACTGCAAAGTACCTAGAACATACAATTTGGAGAAAATGAGGAGTGAGAGATGAGTCTAGAGCAGAGGGCTGGGAGGGTCAGGCTATGAAGGGGCTCATACATCAACCATGCTAAGGCACTTGGACCACTCTGCAGGCAACAGAAGAGCCATCAGTGTTATAAAGTGGAGGAATGAAAGGATGACACTAGTTTTTGGTAGATCATTCCAGAAGGAGAGCTGGGGACCAGGAGGTGTAGAGTGGGAGAGAGGAGCCTGACCAGAGGCCACCCAGGGTGGGGGCTGAGACGCTGGCTCATGGGGGCCTCGGTGTCCTAATCAGGATTCTGGCTTTTCCCGCTCTGTTGAAGGGCTCTGGCCTTTGGAATATCCATGAGATTTAACCACTCCTTGTGTTGTTTCCTCCCAACCGCTGCCAAGAAGGGCAATTATTATCTGGAGCTAACGTCTGTTGGCCTCATCATCCTAGGACTACAAAAAGTCTCGTTTACGCTTATGTCCCAGTGAGGAGTCTCCATGCCCTGCCCCCTCTACCTACCTAGGCAGAAAATTAGACGCCTTTTAAAGTACCAATGAAGTATTTTGGGCAGTCCTCAGAGGTGTCTGGCTTCTCAGCTGGTGCAGTGGTAAAGAACCTGCCTGCCAACGCAAGAGACTCAAGAGATGCGGATTCCATCCCTTCCTTGGGAAGATCCCCTGGAGGCAACCCATTCCGGCATTCTGGCCTGGAAAATTCCATGGACAGAGAAGCCTGGCGGGATCTATGGTCCATGAGGTCACAAAGAGTTGGACACGACTGAGCACACGCGCACACACACTAAAGGTGTCTGCCGCCTGCCGCCCCCCACCACTCAGAACCTGACACATCCTCAGCTGCTGCTCTAACACCCACGACAACAAAACCACCTGGGGAAGCCCATCTCCCGCCTTGGCGGACAGAGCTCATCACAGGACACCAACACCCTTGCCACCGTCACCTCCAGATTGCTACAAGGTCTGCAAAATGTGGAGCTCCAGGGGTACCACTCCGACCAGGGGCTATGGCCTCATCCCCAAATCTGGGCCATAATTTAGAAGGCTAAAAGACTCCCCAGAGAGCGCCCAGGGAAATGATTCTCAAGACTAGCTCAGGAGTCCCCAACCTCTGGGATCTGATACCTGATGATCTGAAGCGGAGCTGATGTGATAATAATAGAGATAAAGTGCACAATAAATGCAATGCACTTGAATTATCCCCAAACCACCCCCTATCCCCAGTCCATGGGAAAAAACTGTCTCCCATGAAATGACTCCCTGGTGCCACAAAGGTTGGGGACCATGGTTCTAGCCCCCCATTACTGAGGGTCAGTCCGAGGGGTTCCCCCACTAAAACCCAAGGGGACCCAAATAAACCTGGATCGTTTTGCCCCTTCAGGCCCCCCTTCACAAGCTTTGGCTTCCCAGGCACCCCTCACCGCACCCCCCCCCCCAACTATGAAGTGTTAGTCGCTCAGTCGTGTCTGACTCTTTGCAACCCCACGGACTGGGGCTCGCAAGGCTCCTCTGTCCATGGGATTCCCCAGGCAAGAATACTGGAGCGGGTTGCCATTCCCCCACCCCTCACTTTACCTGCCTCCCAAATGCCCCAGCGGTGCCTGCAGCCAGTGTCCCCAGGGTCGGCAAAGACGCCTCGTACCACCCTCTTCCACACACCAAGGCTCAGATCTCCCCACCTCTCTTCTTTGCAGAAACTCACGTGGTCCTTGATGCTGGTAGCGGGAGCCACGCAGGATTCAGGAGACTGTAGCTAGGTGGTCGCTGGAAGATGGGACAGAGGGTTCCAGATCCTCAGCTCAGGGATCTTTGCTTCAAAGCCCTGGTGGGAGAAGAGAGAACACTGGAGAAGCCCTGCTTCCGGAAGGAGAGGAGTGTCGGGGCTGGAGAGGTGTGGGCATCGAGCTTTGCAAAACAAAAGGCACCAGCAGATTGTGTGCTAATACCTGATAAAAGCCCATTTACTCCTCAGAAGCCTTTTCTGTTACCAGAAGTCTTTTACCAGAAGACTTTTCTCAAAGAGCTTCCGCTCTGAGTGTGGTTTTCTAACTCTGGGGCAGGGAGCCCTAGAGTTTGCACAGGACAGGGTCCAGGTCCAACTCCTATTTCAAGGGGAGCACACGCCCAGGTGTCAGTTACATATGTCGGGTTACTAAATAAGATCTTCATTTAAGAAAAAATCATCTATCCTTTATCCCGCTTCAACATTTAGAATCGGCCTAGGGAAAGCCCTGAAGTGGGCATTCCCTGGGGGTCCAGTGGTGAGGATTCCGGACTTTCACTGCTGGGTGCGCCAGTTCGATACCTGGTTGGGGAACTAATCCTGCAAGATACATGGCAAGGCCAAAAAATAAATTAAAACAAAGAAAGAAAGAAAAGTCCAGAGCTTGACAAGTTGTCAAGCAGCACACAGATAAGAAGGATGTGATGGTAACTGCCACTTGTCCACCAGTGTCCATCTCTCCATCTTGTTTCACTCACAGAGACCTCAGAGAAGCAGTTACCCACGCCTCCTCCAGGAAAGATTGCATTTCCCAGCCTTCCTTGGAGCTAGGTGTGCCCCGCTTCACTAAATTATGGTCAAGCAGAATGAAGCCAGAGCGGAGGAGGCAGTTCTCGGAAATGTCCTTAGAAGGCGTATTAAGGAGGGTTCTCCAGAGAAACAGACCTGAACAGGAGATCTATACAGATATTTATTACTACAGATTGGCTCACATGACTTTGGAGGCTGAGCAGTTCCTCAATCTGGAGCCCCAGGGAAGTCGGTGGTATAATTCAGTCTGAGTCTGAATGCCTGAGAACCAGAGAAGCTGATAAAGTAAATCCCAGTACACAGAGAGGGGAGATGAAATGAAATGTCCCAGCTCAAGCAGGAAAAAAGAAAAGGGGGAAATCTCTTCTTACTCAACCTTTTGTTCTAGTTAAACCCTCAATAGGTTGGACAATGCCCTACCTCATTGGGGAGGGTGATCTAATTCACTAAAGCTACTCATTCAAATGCTAATCCCATCAGGAAACACTCTCACAAAGACACCCAGAAACAGTGTTTAAACTGGGCACCTGTGGCCAGTCAGGGAGACACATAAAATGAACCACCACAAAGGGAGATGGTTTTCTTTATCACTTCCTCCTACCTGCTGGCCAGAATTTGACTGATGGCTGGAGATCCAACAGCCATCTTGTGCCATGAGTTCACCTTGAGACTGGAAGCCACATACAGCAGGCATGAAAGGAACAGTGGAGTGTAACTCCAGCCCACACCACCTTCCTCCCACCACTGTGATTATGAGTGGCAAACATCTCCATAAGATTTATGCTATAGTTATTTTCATTTTTTTCTATTACTTGTAACCAAACATCTTCAGAACTAAATGCCAATATACCACATTCGATGAAAAGTGGTGGGTCCTGTGGGGGCTTTTTTATTTGTCATTCATTGCTGCCTTTATTAGCAGAGTGTATTTGGTCTCACATTCTCATTTCAACCACTGACTTTTCACTTAGGAAGGGTCTGACTACAGCTGCTGCCCACTTAATAGAGCAAGAGGTTTGGAGGAGGGAGGATAAATTCCAAATTTAAGGCAGAACAAACCACTTCCTCCATCATTCATTTGTTCATTTTCATCAACCAAAATGCTGACTGACTCTTTTCCCAGGGTTATGCAGTATCTCACTGGATTGTCACCAGCAACACCATGAGGGAGGCGTCATCCCCATGTTCCAGGTGAGGAAACTGAGGTCCTGAGAAGTAAGAAGATGGCAGAGTGATGATCAGTCTGCCTCCCTTGATTCCACAGTAATTATTTTTCAAAACATCAGATATATTTTCATTTGACTAGTGGGAACTTGATTGCACAGACTTAATCCAACAAGTCAGAGAATAAAATAGTGTGAAGTGTTCAGTTTCCAGGTGATAGGAGGCTGGGGTCAGGCAATCAGCTAACCACTATCCACGGAGTGCCTAGTGTGTGCCATGCACTATTTTTAGAGTGGGTTGTCACTGATGTGGTGTTTACAGGGCACCTTCCCTCTGAAGTGTGAGCATCTCTGTTTCTGTGCAGAACCCACATCGCCCTGGCACACTCTCATTGTTCAGATGGAAAAATACCAGCCAGGGGTACTGGGAGCTGGGTCTGGTTCCACTTGTACCAACTGCCAGCTGCGTGCCTTCAGAGAGGCTGGTTAACCGCTCTGGTCCTCTGTCTCTTCTTCCGGGGCCTTCAGGGTTCCCCCCACCCCAGCCTCTCTGCTTGTGCTCTTTTCAAGTGTTCCTTAATTCAGACTTGGTCAAAGCTCATCGGGCAGTGCCATTTAGAGTTTTCCAAGAAATTACACTCTTCGTGGAAACGCAGGAACCTTCCGTTAGGCCCCCCGAATAATTCACATACATAAATGTTAAGCTTCAGCTGCAGTTTCCTTTTGTAAAAGAGAGAAGATGTTTGAGGAGGAACTGCAGTTATAGTTGAACTAATTCCTGGAATCTTGTTTTCACTTTCTCTTTGATCTTTTTCTTTTAGGAACCTCCTCTGGGAAGGAGCCCCATCGTAATGTGTTTCAAAACTACACTTGGTAATAAGAAGCTGGGGTTCTTGATCACACTAACAAACAGACAGAACCAGAGTCCCAAGTCGCTCTTGGAGCTATGATTCTACAGCTCAGAATAAGGGTGGGAATAAGTATACTTAAGAAGCACCCACAGACTTCCCAGGTGGTCTGGTGGTTAAGAATCCATCTCCCAGTGCAGGAGACGTGGGTTTGATCCCTGGTCTGGGAAGATTCCCCCTGCCTCAGGGCAACTAAGCCCGTGTGCCCCAACTACTGAGCCCCTGAGCGCTAGAGCCTGTGTTCCACATCAAAGCTAGCCCTTGCTCCCTGCAACTAGAGAAAGCCTGCACACAGCGACACAGAGCCAGCACACCCAAGAATAAATAAACGAGAAGCGCTCAGTTCCTGGGCTAAACCAAGACGAGAGTCCAAGTCCTGAGGTTCCAAAGAAGTTGGAATCAGAAGCTTATTCCTGATCTTCCTGTGTATTAGCTGTGTGATCTTGGGCAAGTGTTTTACTGAACTCACAAAGTACTGATGAGCAGGGGTCCATATCATCTGCCAGATCATGGGCCCGGCTGAAGGGCTGATGAGTGGAAAGTGAGAAAGGCATGGGTGTCCCACAGCCTGGAGGGGAGATTACTGAAGGGCAGGGACACGGCCTTCCCGCCCCCCCTCCCCCCGCCCCCGAAGGTGAGCAATGCCACCAAAGTGGATAGGGGTGGGGGGGCAAAATGACTTCCCTGAGAAAAGATAGCTCAGAATGTGAAAGATGACTAGGACTTGACCAGGTGAGCGGGTGGGCCAAGAGCACTGCAGGTATCAGGACTAAATGTGGCAGAGCCGGGTGCCCACCTGCACTCCTGACTCAAGACCTTTTGAGGAGTCAAGAAAGAAAACTAGAAAGCGACAGGGGAGCGGGGGGATTGCGATCAGAGGGGAAGGAGATCACGTGGTCTCACCTCCACGCAGGCGCCCTAACTCTAAAGGCAAAGGGAAGTCATTCAAGGATGCCGGACGCTCATGGAGCCATCAGATGCTGAAGGCCCTTCTCGGGCCCCCGAATCTTCATCGGTAAGTGAGGCGCTCCTGCCTTCTCTCTTTCCCACCACGGTGGTCTAATTCTCCGCCCAGGGGAACCAGGCTTTCACCCTGGAAGCCAGATCCTGTCCCAGCTTTGCTCAGAAGCCCCCAGTTGGTCGCCACCTCAACCCCGACTCAGAACAACTTGGAAAGTGCCCAGGGTGGCCTCTGATGACTGCCCCCCGACATCCCCCAGCTCCAGCCTCCCTGTGGCCCCCAGGCCCCAGCACACTGCCCTCAGGCTGTGCCTGGACTGCGCCCTCCCCCTGGGGTCTCAGGCCCTCCCGAAGGCTCCCCCCACTGCCCACCAACGTGGCTCCGATTTTCTTTGGGGCACCTGTCATCTCAGATATCTACTTGTCTAGTTCTTTCCTGTCTGCTCCTTCCAGTAGAAGGAGAGTTCCTGGGAACAGGGATCTGGGGTCTGTTTGCTGCCATCTGCCCTGGAGTCTGGTGCAGAGCGCCAGCCCACAGTATCTGAACAGTCCCTATCTTGCATGTTTGATAAGTTCGAATAATACTATTATTGCAAAGATAGCACTGAATTTAGTTGTTGGGTTGGTCAAAAACTTTGTTCAGGTTTTTCCATAACATCTTATGAAAAAACCCGAGTGACTTATTAGGCCAACTCAGTACTTAGGAAGGACTCCCCTGTTTGTTTCTCCCCCATCTCCCGTCTTCCAGGCTCCCAGGAAAAGTCCTTTCCAGGGCACCATTTGCCCTGGGGCTCCCCCGGCCCCTCTGCCCTGCCTGCCGGCCCCTGGCTGCCCTGCCTGCCGGCCCCTGGCTGTCCCTGGCTGACCCGCGGGTTCCCTGCCGCCCGCTGCTGGCTCGGCTGTGCCTCTGGAGGACACGGCATGTGTCACGGTTGCACACACTGACTGAGGCCGGCCGCAGCCTGGCAGCTCTAGCCTTTGTCCCGCTGCCCCTGGGCCCCGTGTGGTCAGGGCCTGGGTGTGGCCATCACCCTGGGCGACATCCAGTGCATGCCAGGGCATGTAATGAAGCTGGACCATTTGGCAGAGACAGATAAAGCAAAACCCTTCCTTGAGCCTTGACTGACGGCTTCTTTTCTCGTGACCCACACAGAAATAGATGGTTTCAACTGCGTGTCTCCTGCGGTGACCTGGGATCGGGGGCACACAGCCTGCTGATGCCCCTGCCCTCGTCCTACCATCCGCCTGCAAGATTCACGGAGATGGCGAGCAGTCTGCAGGGGGGAGGCCCAGGAATGTTCCGGAAAGGCTCTCTCCCCCTGCCTCCTGCTCACAACTCACAGGGAATTAAACAATAAGCAGGGTCTCATGAAAGCTGCTCTGAGAAGCAGTCACAACTGCCAAAGGATCCTTATTATTTCTTTTTACTTTTTTCCAATTTTATTTTTTTACTTTTTAAAACTTATTGGAGGACAACTGGTTTACAACGTTGTGTTGATTTCTGCCGTACATCAACATGAATCAGCCGTAAGTATACATATGTCCCCTCCGTCTTGTACCTCCCTCCCACCCCACACTCCATCCCACCCCTCTAGGTTGTCACAGAGCCCTGGGCTGAGCTCCCTGCATCATAAAGCAAATTCCGGCTATCTATTTTACACATGCTAATGTATATATTTCAGAGTTACTCTCTCAATTCGATCTGCCCCACCCGACCTGTGTCCAAAGTCTGTTCTCTATGTCTGCATCTCTAGTCCTGCCCTGCAAATAGGGTCATTAGTACCACTTTTCTAGATTCCATGTATATGTGTTCATATATAATATCTGTTCTTCTCTTTTTTGCTTACTTCATTCTGCGTAAGGCTCTAGGTTCATCTAGCTCACTAGAACTGATTCAAATGCATTCCTTTTTATGCCAAGCGGTCTTTGAATGACCCTAGATCGGGGCATTGAACCTGAGGCTTCTGGTGAGCTGAAGGGTTTGGATCCCCTGGAGAAGGGAATGGCTACCCACTCCAGTGTTCTGGCCTAGAGAATTCCATGGACTGTATAGTTCATGGGGTCGCAAAGAGTCGGACATGACTGAGCAACTTTCACTTTCACTTTGGACCTGGCCACAGAGCCTGTGTGCAAGGCGGTGTGGGTCTGTGCACAGAGGTCGCTTGATTCTTTCAGACTCTCAGCACAGACCTGTGCATGCGTCCATCTTGGAGAAGAGAAATAACGCACCTGTGGTCACTGCGTGAACAGCAGCTCGGCCCCCAGGGCCTCCGAAGACCCCATCAGCCAGGTCACCAGCACTGCTCGGAGCGCAACAGGGCAGATGAAGAAGAGCAAAGCCGGAGACAGTGAGAAGCAGGCCGAGAAAAAACCAAACAAAGCAAGAGGAGATCAACATGTTAGCCACGACTGTTTCTGGGAGCAATGGGACAAAAGTCTTTTTCTTTTAACTTACTTCCGTATCTTCCAGATTTTCTATTTTACAAACCTTTGTTTGAAAGCATGAGCATTAAAAGAAGAAAACTCTTTGAAGGCAAAAAGAGATCCCATAGCATTGTCTGAACATACCTCCATCCAATCCCGCCTTTTCTATTTTTTTAGGTTTGAAAGTTTTGCTATTGTTTGAGTTTATAAGTGATACATTTTGGTAACCAGTTTTTCTAGGAAAAAAATGAGAGTTTAAAGGATGCATTTAGTTTTCCCTCTGGAACTATTTAGTTTAAGGATTTCATGTAGTATAGTGTTAGTTGCTTAGTGGTGTCCAACTCTTTGGGACTCCATGGACTGTAGCCCATCAGGTTCCTCTGTCCATGGAATTCTCTAGGAAAGAATACCAGAGTGGGTAGCCATTCCCTTCTCCAGGGGATGGTCCTGACCCAGGGATCAAACCCGGGTCTAATGCATTGTAGGCAAATGCTTTACCATCTGAGCAACAAGGGAAGGCCACTTTAAAGGACAATTGACCAATATCTTCTATAAACATCAGAGTACATTGTTTGCATTTTTTTAATGGATAGTTTTTATTTCATTTACATAGTTGTAAAGTTTTATCTCTTTAGGGACTAAGCTGCATTCAAGGAGCTGAGTTTGCCCTGAGACATCATTTCAGGGCAACCCTCTTATCTGTCTATTCTTAGCTTCAGTGATGGTTTTAAAAATAAAATTTTAAATTGCAGCTTCAGCTGATGAGTCCAATGGGATAGCTACTGAACTTGGTAATTATAAGATTTCCTAGAATAAGTTTAATTGGCAAACAGATGCTTGCAATCAGCTGTTATTGTTGCTATAAATCTCTCTCTTGCCTTTTCAAGCTCTGGGTAAAGCTACACTAATTGTTTTAGCTTCCAGAACAGTGTTAGTTAGGCATCACACATTTATGGGGACTCATTGCAGCCAATTGTTTTGACTCAGCTGGGACAGATGTCTGTGGAGCTCAGAGAAACTCCTCACACATACAAAAGACAATAAAAAGCTATTCTCATTCTTGTGGGAAAAGGTCACTTTTTTTACCCTTTGGTTGTTAGGATAAGGTTTACAAATCCATGCTTATTTATATCTAGCTACATCATCTTCTAGACTTTCACTCTGAATTGACAGGGATAAAAATAATTTGAATATAAGCCATTAAACTAAATATAAGCCATTTTGTCTCTAAGTATATATGTCTGACTTTAAACCCTTGTTCTGCTTCTTCCTAGCTGTGTGACCCTGGGCAGCTCACACAGCTTCTCTGATCCTTGTTTATAAAACAGGGATGGTAATGTACATGCCATAAGATGTATATCCTGTAAAATTGCTGTTTTTTGGAAATAAGATTTTGGAAATTAAAGTATGTGATGGTGTGAAGCACCCAGAGCACATTTAAATTCATTTCCTTTGCCCCCTCTGATTCTCAGAGAAGAATGTCAGTTTTATTCAATTAAGCAAACATTAATTGAGCACTCATCATATGCAAAATCCTGGAGATACCAACACTCCATTTGAGATTTTTAAGAAGTTCATCATCTTCTAAGGAGGACAGACCCCTGTTATGTTCTAAAAGTCTAATGAAAGTGCTCAGGGATCCGAGGGAAAGGAATATTAGTTTTGCCTGGGACAAAAAGGTTTTCACAGAAACATTTAAGAGCTTCAAGCTAGACCCTGAAGGATGAGTAGTTCTGACCTAAAGAGAAGCAAGATTTGGAAAATGGAAAAAGGAAGAGAACACAGTAAGAGACAAAAGCAAGAAGGAAGACAAGACAGTAAATGCGTGCAGTGTGGCCGAGGAACACTGAGGAGAACTGGGTCTCCTCGGAGGAGAGGACCAAGTACCAGAGAGAGAAAGATGGGAGACAGAGTCACCAAAGGCCTAGAAATACCTGTGGCTCATCCACATTGCCTCTGCCAGCGTCTGGCCCTTTAAGGCAGCCTGAGGTCCAGAAAGCAAGTGTTGGCACTCCAGTGGAAGGTCAGTACACACCTATCACCTGTAATTATTTACTCAACAGACCCTCACTGAGTATCTGCTATGTGCCAGGCCCTGTCTGAGACCCTTGAGAGGCAACAGGGAGCAAAACACGGCTCCTGCCTTCATGGGGTTCCATTTTCCCAGGGCAAGGTCACAGTGATCAGATACACAGATAAGTGTGCTGTAGAATAAACTTTGGGTTTCCCTGGTGGCTCAGATGGTAAAGAATCTGCCTGCCAATGCGGGAGACACAGAGATGTGGGTCGGATCCCTGGTTTGGGAGGATCCCCTGGAGGAGGCCATGGCTACCCACTCCAGTATTCTTGCCTGGAGAATCCCCATGGACAGAGGAGCCTTGCAGGCTATCGTCCACAGGGTCGCAAAGAGTTGGACACAACTGAGCGACTAAGCAACAGACAGAATGAAATTTGGGGAATAGAGCTGTGAAGTAAAAGTGTAGCAGATGGATGAGAGCTGTTTTCCAGGGGCGGTCAGAGATGTCTTTTGGAGATGATGCTTAACCAGAGACCCGAGTTATGTGAATAACTGTGGGAGAAGCTTCCAGGGAGAAGCGTGGCGGTGGCAAGGCCCTGATTCGGGCAGCTCCACGGGCTCGGGCAAGAGTCAGGAGCCTAGGTGTTTCCAGGGCAGTGCCAGGAAACAAGGTCAGAGATTTGAGGGTGCAGATGAAGCTTCCTAAACCCTAAGCTCCATAACATGCCCCCCAATCATGCTCTGACCTTCTGAGCTTGGTCTTCCCGGAATACGAACTTGGCTCTTGCAGGGCAAAGTCTCTTGACCCTCCGTGGGCTCCCTCGGCCCTCACACAAACCCCTGGCCCCAGTGACCCCCATGGCGCACAAGCCTAGACACTCGAGTTCGGAAAGGCAGTGTCTGCAGGGATGCGGTCACGTGGGTGGCTGTGCCTCATCCGATTCTCGCCCCGCTCCTCCGGCTGCCCGTAACGATGGGGCGGGCCGGGGCAGGCTTGGCTCTGACACTCCCGTCTCCCCCGAGCGTCTCCCTGGTGGCATCACGCCCCCGCCGCTCCTCTCACTTTCTGACCTAAGCCTGCACACAGGCCCTTCCATCAGTTTGCCCCAGCCCTGAGCTGAGACCGGGCTGGACGGCTTCGCAGGATTTTATAGGAGGCTCAGGGACCCCCGGAGGGACGCTAAGAGAGTAACTGACAACTGTCCCCGCCATGGCGGCTCTCAGAACCCTCCAGAGCACCTGCAGCTGCCTGTCCCGCTTGGCTCCGCCTCTTCCTGGGCAGCCCCCCGCCCCCGGGGTCCGGTCCCCTCAGAGGGGCCCTCAGAGGAGCAGGCAGCCAACTCCTCACCAGGTCAAGGCCCGCCTTCCACTCCACTTCCTGTCCCAGAATCCTCTTCTTCCTGCCTGATTGACGCCGGTGTCGCTGTGGGAGACGCTGCCCAGCACCCGGGGGCTTGGAGCCCCAGCTTGATCAGTCCTGAGTGAAACCGAGTCCGCCTAAGGCTGAGTTCACTCACCGAGTTATGATTAACCTCTCTATCCCAGACTTCATTTCCTTTCTTGTCCTTCCCGGGCCCCCTCGGGATTGAAACTGAAATTGTTAGTCCCTCTGTCGTGTCCAACTCTGCGACCCCATGGACTGTAGCCTGCCAGGCTCCTCTGTCCGTGGAGATTCTCCAGGCAAGAATACAGGAGTGGGTTGCCCTTTCCTCCCCCAGGGGGTCTTCCCGACCCAGGGATCAAACTCGGGGTCTCCTGCATTGTGGGTAGATTCTTTACCGCCTGAGCCACCGGGGAAGCCCTCCTCAGGATTGGGGAGAGTCAAAGGAAAGAGGGAACTGACACCATACAGGACCCTGGGGGCCCTCCGTAAAAGCCCCTCCAAGCCCCACCGTCTCGTTCGGAGAAAAAAGGCCTGGGTCTCCTATGCCTTCCCCACGTTCTGAAGAGCCGACTCAAGCAGTTAAGGATTAGAACAGTAGTCACTGGACTCCCGACTCCTCCTGGAGACACACACAAGAATCTGGTGCACACCTTGAGTTGTTCTGTAAAAGCTAAGACCCCACGAGGTGGAGTATGGTGACTGTGCAGAGCATAAGCTTGGAGACCCCGGGCTGGTGGTCTGATCACCATCGTTTCAGAAGGGTGGTGACTGAGATCCCTGAACTGTCGCCCTGCTACCTCACCACTGACCAATCAGAAGGAGGCCCACAGTTAGGCATCCTAGGACCCTCCCTTAACCCTGTCTCCAAACCCTCACCTGCAAGCCATCCCAGATTCAGGTCTTTTGAGCCCGAGTCTCCCTGTTCTCCTCTTTTGATGTCCTGCAAGTCAACCCTGACTTTGCTGCCAACACCGCTGTCAGAGTTTGGCTCTTGGTGAATCAAACATATGAACCCTCACTCGGTAACAAGAGTTTTGCCTCAGAGTGTCTTTTCAACTGCCGTGATATGAACAGTTCAGTTGCTCAGTCATGTCCGACTCTTTGCGACCCCATGGAGTGCAACACGCGCCAGGCCTACCTGTCCATCACCAACTCCCGGAGTTTACTCAGACTCATGTCCATCGAGTCAGTGATGCCATCCTACCATCTCATCCTCTGTCGTCTCCTTCTCTTCCTGCCTTCAGTCTTTCCCAGCCTTAGGGACTGCATGGGTGGAATTCATTCCCCCAAATTCATGTTCAAGTTTGTACCCCTAATACCTCAAAACGTGACCTTCTCCAGAGACAGGGTCCTTACAGATGTAATTGTTAAGGTAAGGTCATTAGGATGGGTCCTAATTCACATTTACTGGTGTCCTTAGAAAAAGGGGACATTTGGACGGAAAGACAGACGTAGAGGGACGATGTTGTGCAGAGATACAAAGATGGCCGCCTGCAAGCCAAGGAGGGAGTCCTAGGATAGACCCTTCCCTCGTGTGAGACAGTCCTGTCTGTGTGTGGCACTTGGCTACAGCGGCCTGAGCAAATGAACCCACACCCCACGGAGGGAGAGGTGTTGTCTCTACCTTACAGATAAGGAAGCTGAAGCTCATAAAGTTTTCGTGTTCCCCACAAGGCTTCCCTGGTGGCCTAGTGGTAAAGAATCTGCCCGCCAGAGCAGGAAGCACAAGTTTGATCCCCGGATCAAGAAGATCCCCTGGAGAAGGAAATGGCAATCTGCTCCAGTATTTTTGTCTGGGAAACTCCATGGATACAATAACCTGGCAGGTTTAGGAGCCTGGGGACACAAAGAGTCGGACACGACTGAGCAACGACAACAGCAAGAAGGGTCTTACATCCAGGCGGAGGCTGAGATTTGGGCGGCCAAGCCCTCTCCCACCGCCTGGAGCTGCTCCTCTAGGTGGGGGCGTGGGAGGTTGGGGGGCCCCGGGGTTTCCCACGCCTGGAGCAGGCTGCACCCTTGCGCTGCAGCGGAGGAGGCCCCGACGGTAACCATGGTCACTTGTTCCTTCCGGGGTGAGGTGGAAACCGGTCCAGTGATCCCTCTGGTGCCCACATAGGGCAGGACACCTCCCTCCCGGGGAGGGAAGGGATCGGATTCCTGGCGGCCAGGAGGAAGAAAGTTTCCTTATTTACATCGGAAAGCTAATGAAAGTCTCCTTGGGAGTTCCAGCTCTTTAACCCCAGGGGGCTGACCCCTGGGAAAATAAATAAGGCGGCTTTGGGAAATGACAGTGTGCACAGGAGGAGGCCCCTCTCCCAGGCTGCCGTCATCCCATCGCCGCAGCTTGGGGTCTCCTGGCCCCTTCGCAGGGCCTGCTGGCCTTCACCCCCTTGCCTACGCTGGCTTCTCCACCCCTGGGGGGGCCTGGGGGCTGGGGGCAGGGGCTGCTCCTACCTCCCCCTTCAACAGGGAAGGAAACCCAAGTTCAAGGACGCAGAGAAAGCAGAGCTGAGATTGAAACACAAGATTTTACTGTCTCCCCATAGAAATCTCCCGGAGACCGTTGCCAAGCGCTGGCTGTTTGGAGGAGGGAAAATGAAAGTGTGAGTCACTCAGTCCTGTCCGACTCTGTGACCCCAAGGATGCAGCCCACCAGGCTCCTCTGTCCATGGGATCCTCCAGGCAAGAATACTGGAGCGGGTTGCCATGTCCTCCTCCAGGGGATCTTCCCCACCCAGGGAACGAACCTGGGTCTCCCACATTGGAGGCAGATTCTTTACTGTCTGAGCCACAAGGAAGACTTTGTAGGAGGGAAGGAGGGCTCTCTGTTGCGGCTGCAGGGCCTCGGAGCTCTCTCGTCATTGGCTCCCTCACCCACCCCGGCTCCTAAAAGTGTTGAAACTGGGAACCAGCTTGGTCCCTGCACCGAGGAGGCCCCGAGGCCACAGGGCAGGTGCGATCTGACCACTTCAGGGCTGGGTTTGTGGAGCAGGCGTCTCCCAAGAGCAGAGGTGCTGGGAGAAGATTCCAGGCCAGGAGATTGCTCGGGGCTGGGGTGGGGGTGGTGCTTCTGAGTTCTGCCACCTGACTTCCACCCCCTTCATCCTGTGACAGCAGCTTTCCAGCTGGGGCCCAGGGACCCGGGGGTCAGATTTGAAGGACGGAGGGGGCCTACGGGGTAAGTGACTCACCTGGAACGACCACATCACAGGGAAAGAACAGTAAGTCCGATAAGGGGGCAGCGAGCACGGACCTGCCACCCCCCCCCTCCCCCCACTCTATGCCCTGGGGGTGGAGGCTGTGACAGGATGGATCTTCCAGGCAGCCAGGAGGGGGCAGGAGGCGGGGGAGGGGGGCTCCTCATCCAGAAAAGGCCCTAAGGCTCCAAGGGGCCTGATAAGTGCCCTCCATGAGGGTGCTGGGACCCCAACAGGGGACTGGCCTCCCCCAGAGCCTCAGGCAAAACCTGCAGAGGCGGCTTTCCCCACTGGAGCTCCTTCCCTGGGAGGAAGTGTGTGTGTGGGGTCATTCCAGCAGATCCACCCTCTGGACAGGAATAAGCTACAGGCTCGAGTCTGTTCTCCTTCTTAAAATATTGAGACAAATTCACATCACATAGAATTAACCCCTGTCAAGAGTACAGTTCATGGGCATTTAGTCCATTCACCATGTTGGACAACTACTGTTTCTGTCTAGTCCCAGCACGCCTCCATCACCTCCAGAGAAAGGTCACCTCCGACCTCGTGAAACAACTGCTCCGCCTCTCCCCCGGCCCCCAGGAGCCCCCCTCCCCGCAATCTGCATCTGTCTTGCTGGGGTCACCTCTTCAGGATGCTTCCCACAAATGGCACTGTATGACCCTCTCTTCTCCTCAGCGACCCGCAGAGCACCAGATCAAGAAGAGCCGAACTGCGGTTTCCATTCTGATACACGTTATCCTACGTTGAGACTCTCGTGTGGGCTTCATAATGAAAGTCACACATTTCATGGCAGGAGACCCGAAAACTGACAAAAATCCCAAAACAGACACTTAAAATGGCCCCTGGCCCCATTGCTCAGAATAACTATGCTAATATTTCAGAGATAAATCTTCCACTTTTCCCCCCAAGCTAACATCAGTGAGCAGCCAGGCTGTGCTACTAGCTACAGGCCTGGGGTTGGTTTCATGACCTCTGTATCGCCTTTCCTCACCTGTACAAGGACATGAAAATAGTACCTAATTCAGGGGTTGATTGAGAGAGTGAATGAGTGCATAATACATGTGAAGAACTGAAGATGGAGCATCATAGAATAAATGCTGAGCCAATGCATTAAAGTGAAAGTCACTGTGTCATGTCTGACTCTTTGCGACCCCATGGACTATACAGTCCATGGAATTCTCCAGACCAGAATACTGGAGTGGGTAGCCTTTCCCTTTTCCAGGGGATTTTCCCAAACCAGGGATTGAACCCAGGTCTCCCACATTGCAGGCAGAGTCTTCACCAACTAAGCTACCAGTGAAGCCCAGCTATTATCATATTTTCCCCACAAATCAATGTCATGGGGATCATCATATCTGCAGAGGAAGAAACCGCGGGTCAGAGAGGTCAAGCAATTTGCCAAAAGGCAAAAAGGAAGCAAAACTGCTTTTCAAGTATGGGTGCGCTCCGTCGTCATCACCGCCTCCTTTTGCAGAGAAGGATGCCCAGGTGCTGGGAGGTTGGTGTCCGCGGTCACACAGCGAGCTGGGGCAAAGCTGGCTCCCAGCAGACCTGGCATCTGCCTCCGTCCCGCCCCCACGGCCCCCTCCCGGGTACCGAAGGCCCCTCACCTGGGATGGAGACCCCCTGGCCGGGGCCCTCACCTCTGTGCGGCTCCAAGCTCCCCATTCTCCCTCCTGGGTCCGCAGGGCTGCGGTCGGGGGCCTGGTCGTCTCCGGTGGGAGCCGGACGCGCCCCTGCAGGGCCTCGGGAGAGCAGAGCGGAGTCAGACGCCCTGAGAAAGCCGGCCGGTCAGCGCCCGGGTCCCCGCCTCCCGGGCCGCCCGGGGCCGCTCGGAGACTGTCCAGGGCCCTCCGGCGAGGCCGCGCCAGGCCGCGCCGTCTGCTGCTGGCCCGGAGCCAGGCCCCGGCTGCCCCTCTCAGACGCCGTCCATGGGGGCTTCCCCTCCGCCCCTGCGCAGAGTGAGCCCTGAGCAACCCCGAGAAACGCCTCAAACGCCCTGAAGCTCGGAAGCCGTCTCAGGCCGGAGCTCTCAGCACTGCCCGCTCAGCGCTCTCAGCGTTGCTTTGTAACCAGAACAATCCCTGGGGAGTGGAGCCTTCCCTGAGATTCCACGGGAGAGCTTCGAGGCTGCAGCCTTCTCCCAGGATGCGAATTAAAAACACCACCCGACCAAGTCAGCATCACAGATAATTCGCCGTGGAGGACCGCGGGGCCCCAGGGCTCAAGCGTGGCTGGAATCCCTGCAGGGCTCTCGTCCCCGCTTCCGCCCCGGAGCAGAGTGAGCCCTGAGCAACCCCGAGAAACGCCTCAAACGCCCTGAAGCTCGGAAGCCGTCTCAGGCCGGACCGGCTCAGCGCTCTCAGCGTAGCTTTGTAACCAGAACAATCCCCTGGGGCGTGGAGACTTTCCTGAGATTCACCCGAGAGCTTCGAGGCTGCAGCCTTTCCCCAGGATGTGAATTAAAAACACCACTCGACCAAGTCAGCATCACAGATAATTCGCCGTGGAGGACCGCGGGGCCCCAGGGCTCAAGCGTGGCTGGAATCCCTGCAGGGCTCTCGTCCCCGCCGCCCCCTTTCTGTCTGGAGGCCTCTGGAGACCAGGGCACTTCTCGGCAGGAGCTGCGCCCTCGTCACTAGGGGCCCACGCGCTGCTTGGGTCCCTGCTGCCCCCGGGGAGCCCCGTGTCGGTGAGGCGGCCTGGCTTGTTGGACGGAAGTTGACTTTGGAAGCGGAACACCCCTCACCCCAGTGAGGCTCCTGCGTCCTCCAGCTGGGGGCTTGGCGGGACTCCGGTAAACCTCCGGGTTCCT